AAAGAATAGAAAGAGGATGAAAGAACAGCTGTTTACTGTGCTGGAAACACAAAGTATTGAAGGCATTTATACGTGGCCATCTCTCAAGATATTTAATAATACAACCTCCCATTCGTAGAGCACATTTGAACTTACAAAGTCCTGTTCACATTATTTCAGTTAACATGTGCTGGAAAGCTCTGTGGTAGTCATTCTCATCCCCATTTTGGTGCTAGGAACTGAGATTCCACGAGGGCAAATGTCTTGCCCAACTTTGAGAAGTAGGGAAGAAATAGAGCTTAGCTAGATTGTCTAAGATTCAGCAATTTCAGCAGCATTATAAGTCTTAGAAGTGAAGGCAGCTTTGGGGTGGAATCAACTTTTATTTACACCCATCTTCAGTGAGTCAAATTAGGTGGTTTGTAGACCATATTTTGCAAAGAGCCTCCTACATTTTGACTTTGGAATATTTGACTCTCCAATTCTGCCAAAGCCTCCCAAGAATTAAAATTTCTAAAGCAAAAATAAAAACACTTCCAACCAAATACCAATGATTATTTTTTCTCCTCAAATTAGAGAGTTAAAAATTTTAAAGTTAATAAAAACCAAAAATATATGAACTGTACTTTAAGACCATGGTGAGATGAAGTTATAGGAGAAAGCCCTGCTGAGAGTTCTTACACAAAGCAATGGCGTGAGAATGTTTGTATGAGGCTGTCCCTTTGTGGTTCTTAGTGGTGTGAGCTGCGTGCGAAAAGGAAGTGCAGGAGAAATTATAGCAGGAGAGGGTCTGGGTGGGGACGAAGTAGACAATAAGAAGGACTGGCTGCTCTTCTCATTGAAGTGTGATAACTGCTGGCACTTGGCAGTTTGGGAAATAATCTTTTGCATTATTTTAATGAACATCCACTGTATGCTCAGGACCATGAGCCAATGAAAGTACCTGATAATGTCACTGCCATGGAGAAGAAAAGATAACCACACTGAAGACAATATACTATATAAGGCAACATATATAAGGCAACATATAACAAAGTTCCAGAGCGTGTGGCACAATCAGTGAGAAAAGTGATGGCGACCCTGAGATCAGGGTGGGTGGGTGCCGTTCAGGAAGCCTCATCAATGAGGTGGCTAAGCTAAGCCCTGAAGGATGGGGACAGGCTAGTCCGGGAGATAAAGGGGAGAGGATAGGGTTGGGTGAGGGCATTCCAGAGAGTGGGGTCAGCTAGAGCAAAGGGCAGGGCCTAGAAATGAGATAGGCACCCTAAAAGGTCACTGATTTGAGATTGTTTATGTTAAAGGGGCAGAGATGATGTCACAAAACATTTTTTAAGCCAACTCTAAGAAAATAGAGAATCTCTCCTGTTAGGAAGAAAGTACAGTTTACAAAGATCCCTGCCCATCTCAGCTCTTTTTGTTGTCATTACAGGGGAGCGTGTTCAACACCTGGAAACCCATGTGGGTTGTATTGTTAGAAGATGGAATTGAATTCTATAAGAAGAAAAGTGACAACAGCCCCAAAGGAATGATCCCCCTTAAAGGAAGCACCCTGACCAGCCCTTGTCAGGACTTTGGCAAAAGGATGGTGAGTTGACATCATTGGCTGCAATGAAACCTTGGTCAGGCACTGAGCTCTTGGTCCATGCGTAGCCTACAATTCCTTTCCCCAGCCCATGCACTCCACCCTGGCTTTTGCGTCTCTCTTGGCCAGAACGGGTTTGGGTCAACTGCTTTGCTTCATGAGGGGACTCTGCCCCTTGAAAGGAGTCATTCCTAATGGGATGTGTTTTGGTTTTTAGTTTGTGTTTAAGATCACTACGACCAAACAGCAGGACCACTTCTTCCAGGCAGCCTTCCTGGAGGAGAGAGATGCCTGGGTTCGGGACATCAAGAAGGCCACTAAATGCATTGAAGGAGGACAGAAGTTTTCGAGGAAATCCACCAGGAGATCCATTCGACTGCCAGAAACCATTGACTTAGGGTGATTTTCTGTGTTTACTTCTCTCTATCCCTGCCTTTTCTCTTTTTTGCTTCCCTCTGACAGAGAAAAACATAACAGATCCTGCTCCAAGGCTTGCTTGTTTGGGCCACCTCTGAAGTCTGTAACCACTCTGCCAGGTTGATACTGGCACTTGGTGCACTAAGATGCTTACCCGGGTCTGAAGGAGCGATCATGTCCTCTCCAAAGCCCACCAGCTGAGGAGAGCAGGCTGGTGGAGTATAAATTCCCTCATAGCGAGTAACAGAGAGAAAGATCAAGACAGAGAGAGACAGAGAGAGAGAGAGAGAGACAGAGAGAGGGAGGGAGGGAGAGGGAGAAACTCGTCATTGCATATATGAAGTAGCCATAATAAGTTAGTTTTGGCAAAAAAAAAAAAGCTCTGGGATCTCTGGGTAGGAAGGAAAAGGCAGGGGCTATGTATGCAAGCAGGCAAGGTTTCACATTCAAGTTCATGCATTCACAGTGAGGAAGGGCCAGCCAGGGGGAACACCCATCCTGGGTTGAAGCCATCTGTGCCCTGATCAGGTTTAATGGCCTCTGATGTTGGCTGGCTTGGAATTGCAGGCGATGACTGTAGCCTAAATGTGGTCAGAGGCCAACAGGTAGATCTAGCCCCTGGCAGAGGTTGGGAATGGGGTTCTTTCCTTCCTGAATGTTTCACATCTTCTCCAGTCACATTAGCTGTTTTCCCTAGGAATCTCTTTCTTCCTGGTAGTTTTGCTTTTATGTTAAACATTTCCTGAATCAGAAGCCCTGTGGAAAAGAATCTCATCCTGGCTGCTTAAAATGTCCAGTAAGAACTGTTTTCATGGGTCGGGGGGAGAGGCCCTGAGAGGGGACTAAAGATACGTCTTCCCATGACTCCCACGAGATTTGGCACGAACGGAACTTCAATAAAGTTTGTGCACTGAGCTTAGTGAGACTGAGCAGCTTCCCTCACCATGGAAGCCTTTTGGTAAAGACCCGGGAGGAGGCACCTGGTCTAGTTTCAGCTGCTGGCTGGGGACACCGAGTGACCATATTCCTGGCCAGGACTGTCAGAACCAAATGGGAATGATGCTTGGACTGTGTGAAGCCACAGGATACATGAAACTGGCCTTCTGTTTTGTTACTTAGAATCTCTCTGATAAGGCTGTTTTTGCTTTATTACTTCAATGGCAAAAATGAGAACTTCCCACTATGTTGCCTTATAGCTTACCATTTCAAAAATAAGAGATAAGCTTAGTAGAAACATTCACTTTCTTAGAGGCAAATGTCTACAACAGATGGTCTCTTGAAAACCTTTAAAGAATTGGGACATGAGGATTGAGGGACCTTAAAGATCTATAACGTGTGGAAAAATGGCTCCAGGAATCTTTCATCTTGGGCACCTGATGTGGGGCAACTCTCCATCTCAGGTACCAATAGTTAAATCAACAAAGAGCTTAATGAATTTAACAGACATTAAGTACTTTGCTAGTCTGTTTTGCTAAATGCAATGCAGGCCACAGTTATGCAAACATGCATCTGCCCTTTACTACTTATGATCTGGTGGAGAGATTATACTCAGGGGATACCCGGAGTGGGTGGGTGGCTGGGTGAGGGGTTGTGTTCATGGGCAGCCTCTGTAAGGTGACAGCTCCTGGGAAGAACTCACCATTCTGAAATGTTCCCCATTCATCCAACTATTTTTTAAATCTCTGCAGTGCCTTGTATTTGTCCATGAAAGATACTGAAAAAGGAATAAAAGAACTGAATCTCGAGAAGGACAAGAAGATTTTTAACCACTGCTTCACAGGTAAAGGACTTGCAAGCCTGAAATAGGGCAAACGAGGGAGTTCTCCTTCAGCCTCATCCGTGTGGGGGGTGCGGGCTGTGGAGCATGGTGGGTGGACGGGGTCCCAGATGCGGACTGGGGGGCATGAGAGTGGGGCTTGCCAGGGTGAAAACAGAAAGACAGGTAGAAGAGAACTTTGTTGTTCAAGATAATGTTTTGGAAGTTACAGCTAAATCAAAGGATGTTTTTTTCCTTTCAATAAATGTTATTATGTTGAGAATTGCTAGAAATAGACTCAGAGTTAGATAAGAGGCAATCCTTACTATGATAAATCAGGATCAAGGCATACCATGTAAGATTTAAATGACAATATTAAGGATGTCAAAGGCTGTACAGGGTTGGGCAGTTTTACAAGTTAAGGTTATATAGTGTAGCGGTTAAAAACATGTTCTTTGGAGCCAGACTATCTTGGTTCAAATCCTGGCTCTGCAACTTACTAGCTGTAAAACCTTGGGCCATTAACTTAACCTCTCTGTGCTTCATTTTTCCCGTCTATAAAGTGGAGACAATCACAGTGCACCCACTTCACAGGCTTGCTGTTAAGCGTGTAGAACAATGCCTCGCTAAGTGCTATGTGGTGCAAGCTCTCAAGTGGTTATTACGATTTAAAAGGTCACATTTTTCCACAATCAATTCTATGAGTTCAGAAAAGAGGAAGAGCTCAGGGGCTTTTGGGGGTGAATAAGAAGTAATATCTAAATCTGACCCTGAAAGATAGGTAGAATTTCATTAAGTACCTGTGGGGAGAATTTCATTTTATTCTCTTTGCAATCCCCTTTGAGGCAGAAGGTTGATTAAATGACTTTTCAAGGTTACTGTTAGACCCTGCTCAGGTGTGCCAATCAGTGCAGGTGATGTCATCAAATTTTAATGTAGGACACCACATCCATCATGTTACTTCCCATTTAAAAACTTGCAATGATTTTTCATTGCCAAATTCTTAATGTGCCATCAAAGCTCTCTCCACCCACCCTGCACCTTCCTCCTCCTCTTGTTCTCTTTTGCCTTCTTTCCACCACCCTGTCCCCCTGCCCCATGGGGCTGCTTCGTGCCTGTGTGTATCTGTTCATGCTGCTGCTCCCTCAGCTGGGGCTGGTTCTTTGGTGTCCCTGCCTCACATGCTTGGCAAATACCCACTCATTTTTGAAGCCTCTGCCCAGTGTCAGTTCCTCTATGAATCCTTTCCTGACCATGCGTGCACAGCCTTTTCCTCCCACCCCCTCCACCCCCTTCACGCCTTCACATTTGACCCAGTACTTCCCCGGTACTAAGTGACATATAGCAGAGCCCTGGTTACAAGAC